TTGGAGACCAAAGTTGGGAGAGTAGGAACAGAAATGTGAAGACATCCAAATATCAAGCCGTGAACAATGGGTAACTGTCTGCAGGGACACCTGGCAGAAGATGCTGTTATGTGACTCTGCCAGCAAAATGTAATATGTCTGCACAAGCAGTGTCAAGGAGTTCTGAGAGCAGGGACCAGGGACCTCAGCTTAGACCTTGAATGCAGACGCAGCACTTTGCAAACTGGAAAAGGCCACGTCCAGAGGATGAAGTCACGGGCAGAAGACCAGGAAAGATTCAGGAATAGGGAAGGAGACCATAGGCCACTTACTAAAACTAGGGAACATACAGGAATCTGGTCTCAAGTGAAAAAATCCAGTGACTCAATTACGGAAAAAAACCAAAACCCCCGGAAAACATGATTTCTGGACTAATGGATTAAGTTATTGATCAAGATAAAATGTCTAAGTTAGAAAATTTATCTCTAACATTGTAATTATCCAGTCCCTTTCTATCAATCCTTTCCCTAAAAAGTCATATCATCTGTTTAGATTTATCCCTTTTAATTTTGACTACACTTTCAAAGGTTGGCTGAATTAGACTAAATAGTCTCCAAAAAAAGGAAGCCGGGTTGCTGACTGAGCACCAGACTGCACCTCTCTGTTATAGCAGCATACTGAGTTCGTTTGCTTAGCCTGTTTTTTCCTCTCTCTCTTTTATTTTTATTAAATCATCGCTGTGTACATTAATGCAATCATGGGGTACAATGTGCTGGGTTTCTATACAATTTGAAATATTTTCACCAAACTGGTTAACATAGCCTTCATGGCATTTTCTTAATTATTGTGTTAAGACATTTATATTCTACATTTAGTAAGTTTCGCATGTACCCTTGTAAGATGCACCGTAGGTGTGGTCCCACCAAGTACCCTCCCTCCACCCATCCTCCTCCTCCCTTCCCCTCCCTTTGCCCTTTCCCCATATTCGTGGGCTATAATTGGGTTGCTCAGCCTTTTGTGAGTGTAAGAGTTTTGTTTCTCATCCGGAAAGTTCTGTATTATCAGGGCAACGCTAATTCCAGGGTAGATGACACAAAAACTATTAATAGATTGTGTCTATGATAAAGCTGAAGTAGAAAACAGAAGTGTTCCAAAAAGAGAAGTATAAAATGAAAGAGGGGATAAAAAGGCAAAATTCTCCGCCTTCTAAGTTAGATGACTATCTTTGTGAAAGGACAGATTTCAAAAGCAAAATAAGCTCTTTG